ACCATCGTAACGCAAAAAATGCCAAATGCAAAATTCTCATAAGCACTATGCTCATCTCCGATATTATACGAAGAAATTCTACTCCAAAAACTCTCATTCTTTAAAAGAATGAACATGAAATAGTTGTACCCTTCACTAGAAATAGCACTGAAATCTTTAAAGATTATTTAAAAATAGAAACATCACAAAAAAAAAGTGCTTCAGCAGACAGATTCGCCCAAGATTTCTCACAACTTTCTTTTGAGCGAGTCTTTTCACATATCTTTTACTCTTCAAAGAAATGACCTTTCACATTAGAGGCGCTCGTTTATATCCACGGTCTGCTCTAACTTTCACCAAGAAAAGAAAACAGATGAGAAAGTCCACACATTCGACTTGCCACACCTCCTTGCAAATCTCAAACCGTATGATAATAATTTTTTAATCGACTGCATTATTTTATAAAATTGACTGGCGTGAAAATTTAGGTACTCACCCAGCAATTTATTTGATAAATAGTGGGAAGTTGAAAACAAAGAGAAAATCAATTCCTTGACCACTAAGTGGCACCATGTTGCGATTATTACGATTCCGCTGAAAATTACATGCTGAAGAACTAAGGGGAAATTGAAAGCTCGCTAATCAAGTTAAACCAGCTGTACATTAAAAACTGCTGAACTACACCCACTCCTGTAAATAATGCAAAAATTATTAACTGGCGAGCTTAGAAAACCGTGAACACCAGGGAAAAAAGCTACAGTGATGTTATGAAGTCAAAAGGAAACCATATAGAAGATTGCAAAGTTACGAGTGACACTGCTCAGTATGTGGTTCTCTTGTGCTACTAAAAGGTCTGAATAGCAGGATATGTCACGAGCTAAAGAAATATACAACATTTTTGAAAACATGTTTCCACAGCTATTCTGTTATCTTCAGCTCAAATTTATACAAAGTAAAAAGATGAATTTAAAGTGCTCAGGGGACAAAACGACATTAGAAACAAAACAAAACATGCAACTAAATGGAAAGTTTAAATGAACATTATTAAGTTGATGATTAAGTGTGATTGCTCCCTTTGAATGAAAGCTCCGTACGTGTGTGGTTTACGAGCTTTTATGTGCGGGCTGTAATGCTTACTATTTTGGCGAAACCTCTCGTCACTTATCCTCATGTGTGCACGAGCACTTGGTTAGTGATAAGACCTCTCACATTTTCAGACATCTACAAAATCCTCAACAATGTCGTCCTCTATGTTCTGATGAATGTTTTTGCATCTTAGATCACGCTTTCACGGCTCTCAAACTTAAAAGAAAAGAAGCTATTCACATTCGAGGGGGGCAACCAATACTTAATCATTAACTTTCTCATAATAAATTTTACTTTCCTTGTAATAGCTCACATTACTTAGTGTTGCTTTGTCTCATGAACATTTTTTTAAAGACATTAAATTCAACTTTGTACTTTGTGTGACAGAAGAACTGTGGAAACATGTTTTCAAAAAATGTTGTATATTTTCTTAAATTGCCTTGTATTCCTGTGCTTCTTGATCTCCAAAGCACTAACATGGTAAAAATTCCCGAAGAATCAAAGTTGTTCAATATTATATTCGAAAAGCTTGTAATAAATATTATAAATTGCTATCGGGCCTTTGCATCTCTCTTTTAAGGAAAAGTACTTACCATCTAGTTTTTCTTTTTCGTATGCTGCTACATTGAAGATACTAACGTTCGAATAGTGACGAAACTAGTGACTGAATAATGTGATATGAACCACGCCGTTTTTTGATGCTTAATGGTGGAACATCCGACCGGCGATAACATGTTACAAGATTACAATCCTCTCACAATTTTTCAACGAACAAACTTAGAATTATGCATCATGTTTTTCCTTACAGCGGAATATTTCAGCGGTTTTGATTGCAGTTGTAGCAACAGGCACTTTACAAAACAATACAATATATATCGTAATATGATGTTGACAAAGCTACAAAATCAATTACTGTTTCCACGTTTGTCTCATCCACTTGATTACTGATGATCCATTTACGTAACGGCACACATCCTCTACGCCCTGATGTCTGAATACACAGTATCTGTACCACTAACACGTGGCAGTACTGCCTTCTGTCGAGGACCTGTCAGTTCACCAAGCTCAGCATACTGAAGCTCACCGGGTTTTGGTGTCTGCCGGCGATACAAAATAAAACATACTAATGTAAGTCGTAGTTGAGCGAAACAGAAACCTTCATGCATTCTTACGACAGCGGTTCATCCAAAAAAATTAATTTATCAATAAATTGTAATAATAGTACGAATGTAACTCTTGGAATGAGAAATCTACACAACTCCTACATCGTCTTTTGAACTACAAGTTATTTTCTTAACAGCGGAGTGCGATCACGAGCACGTATAAATGATGGTACAGAGAAAAGTGATACATGCATTTGATCATTTGTTCATGAAACAAACTTTGCTAAGATCTTGTAACAATTTAAATGTAAGATCCGTTAACTACAGCTCCCTCATTGCCGGCCTTACCCTTTTTTTCTTCTTTGTCTTATCGACCACTGCATATTGTGGGAGTGGCTCTTTCGGTTCACTTGCTCCATTCCCTCTTCTTCCCTCAGACCTCCTATTAGCAACTTCGTAAGTCACTGGAGGCAAAGACGACGGCTTGGAGGCTCGATAGCTGGCATTAGGACCCGCAGCTGCATACTGGTGGTCGGCTGAGGAATAACCCGCTTCCCTACAAGTCACAAAAGCTTTTAATTAAATTAGAACCCTCCGCTTCTGAAATAAATAACGTTCTTAAAATGTTGCAGTTTAACAAACTGTTTACTCGCATTCAAAATGAATAAAAAAAAAATACACATTGATAGACAGGCACATACAGGTACACAGTGAAACAAACAAATAAAAAAAAAGGAAAAAAAGTGGGAAAAAATAATATACTTAAAACTTCCCAAGTCAGTGGAGGCAGAGTCAAAATCATTCCATCCATATATATTCAAAGTTTTTTAAAACAAAAACGTAATTGACAAATATATAAAAAAATTAGACATTCCGGTAACAAAATAAAATTCACTAGCTAGTACTATACAACACTCACATCTCCACGCCTTGGTCCCCATTAGACTGAACTTCTTACATTAGCATGTAAAAAAAGAGAACAAACAGTAAGAAGATTTTGCTAGCATGTTGTTTCGTTTGCTTTGTAGGTATAAAAATGACTTACGAGAAATGGTTTAATAATCAAGGTGTCTACATTAATTTTGATAACATCTCTGACAATTACAAATTTAAAATGGTAATTGAACTGAGTGGAGTGCAATTTGGGCTGAAATCATACGCGTGATTTCTAAATCGAACGAGCCCACAGCGCGAGTTTGATTTGAAATCACAAACTTGATTTTAGACCAAAATTGCACGACTCGAGGTTCAATTACCACTTTATTACATCAATTTTGAAATCGCCCAAATACAGGACCTGGTCAATTCAAATACTATGTTGATGCAGTACCGAGCCGGGTTTTAAGTAAAAAGGGGAACCGGAAATGCTTTTACATCTTACTTTGTATGCAAAACAGAAAGACTTTGACGTCACGTTTCAAAAACTCAGGCAAGCGTAAAATGATGCGATTTAGAGCAAAAAATGGTGCGATTCGTGAATAAATTGCACCAATTAGAGCCAATCAGATTTCAGGTACCACCAGTGATTTCAAAATGGATGTAATAAACAGTGAAATCGGAGCCAAACGCTGTCCCGATATTAAATCAAAGTAACACTATAGTGAACTTGTGGATATATTGTGCAGAAAATGCAGTTATTTTGACTAAAAGCCAATGATCTGGTGATTTCAGGAAACAGAATTGAGCCACGATCCCCGAAAGATTCCTACCCGATTGATCCTTTATATTCAACCATCGGTCGCCCAGC